TTGAACCCTTGCATTACATCGGCTGGTCTAAAGCTACCTGCTTTGCTAAGCGGCCACATCATACATTATCTTGTGAAAGTGCTTTATTCGAAATGGTAGAGAGTGGAAAAATTACCTTTATACAATTTCGGATCCCTCTGATATCCAATATCCTGTTCAATAATTGAATTAAAAAGCTTATTCACTAGAAATTTGAGCGTAAATCTTACTCCTTTTTTTCCTGTATGTCTGAATCAAACAGAGTTGATTATCTTCTGGAAGAATTGGCCAAGTATCGTTTTTTCCCATATCGATTGATACTTTGGTGCCACTCAAGTTTGAAAGTGGAGGAAGGAGTGGGCTTGTACATAGTATTACAAATGTTTCCAAATGGTTCTCTAAAAAGTAATATTTTTGAAGTTTTTGCAGATTTTATTCGAAATTGATTGTTGTGAAACTGTTCGCGCTTTTAGCATTCAATCAGTTTCATAAACATCAAGCCAAAACAGCCGCGTTTGCTGTTTTAACTTAGTGCTCGCTTAGTTAAATTAGGTGTATCCTGGGCTACCCAAAAGTTCATTAGCTGTAGTAGCAAAGTATGATTCCAGTTTTGCTTACTATCTTTTATCAATGTGAATAAATTTTCAAAATTTGCCGAATCTGAGAATTTTGAACTCTCACTAATTGAAGGTCCAATCACTTGTCTGTAAATGTCTGGAAATTTTTATTCTTAAAGTATCGTGGAAATATCAAGAAGTTTGTCATCTTCTTATTGAATATTGATATCTCGTAACAGAGCAATGGCTCTACGAGTGATTTTAAAATCAATACTACCCACTAGAGGTATTTAAACGTTCGGAATTAAAATATCCGCAACTATAACAAACTATAACTTTAGTCTAAAGCTTTCCAACGCGCATGAACATATCCTTCTGAACTTTTGTGAATGCTTGATAAGAATAAAATTACCACTTCAGAACTTGTAAGAAATTTGGAAAGCTACTGCCTTCCTTTAGACTTCATTTGCATGCGTAACAATTATTATAGCGAAGTAGTCGAACATATCATCTCTATCAAAATGTAAGCAGACTTGATGCATTTTGAATGAATTTTTTTTTGAAAGTAGACCTAATTCTTGTCAGGCGCTTTTGTTATGGCGAAATGCCGTCCTCAGGCCTGAAAGAGCTGGTCACCTCTTATCGTACATCTTACCATCAAATAACTCTTCCAGCCCA